GCTACTGATACTGACAGCGAATTTGAGCCTTGCTAAAAAAAAAAAGAAGATCAGTGAAGATAGAGTTTACATGGAGCTTTCAATGAATGATGTTCTTGACAAGTGAATTCCTTTCTTGACTAGGTACAAGGTCAGTGTTCGAGCTGAAACTTCACTTTTGTCCTCACTTTTCAAGGTTGGTGGTGTTGATCTAAATACAGTTACTGTATCAAAGAGTAGTCTACATAGAAACGAAAAGATTGTGATTGAAAATGAAGGTAGAATAGTGAGAGAAGAAAATCTGGACAAAGTTCGGGGTTTAAAGGTTATCATTCATTTTGATACAAAACTGGTCAAACACTAGTGAACTGACCAAAAAATGCCTGAAACTGTAGAAAGGCTTGCTCTCAGTATATCATCCCCCTAGGTCAATGATCCCATAGATTTTTTGCTAGAAATTAAGTCATCTAAAAGGCAGGATCAAGCTATAGCTTTTCAAAACATATTAGAGTTTTATGAACTCACTGACCAGATCATTGGATGAAGTGCCAATAAAACGACCTCTAATACTGGAAAATACAAGGGGGCAATTAAGTTCTTGGTGAATCATGTGCTTAAAAGACCTGTGCTATGGCTGCTCTGTAGGTAATTAAATTATTTTGATAACATATTTTAAAAGTTTGTTGCACAAAACTGTTGTAAAGTTATTACATTTTATATCTTTTGAAAATCGATCTTTAAAGGCACCATATATCTGAAAGGCATATTTCCCATGCAATGGATTATATTCAAGGTTCAACAAAATCTCCATCATGTGCAATACATAAATATTTTCAAAAAGTCTGGCCAGAAATAAAAGAAAGGACAAATAATATTGATCAGTTGCTTTTTTTCAATTATGGCAGAGGAGTATATGGTAGGTACTGATTTTCATAGAAGGGTATTAGATACTAAGAACTTCTGAATAACAACCCTAAAACAAGATTGCTTTCAAAGGGGAGATTATAAAGTTTTTTGTGAGCTAACAGTGATTTACTTTGGTGGCCATATACCTGGTTTCCAGTTCAAACAACCAGGTGCCCACCATTAAGCAAGGTTCATGGCTGATTGTCTATACTTGCTTACAATGCAGCTGACTTCAAAGATTAATTTAATGCTGAATAAAAGTGAAAAAGATATGCTTGAACTGTCAACTGACTTTATTGTTACATTTTATGGAGCATACTTTTTAAAGTCTCCTTGGCGGCCCAGGCTCCATCACACAATTTGGATGCTTTTAAGCTAGCTTATGAAATGATGAGCAATAAGCTATATATATCTAAGTATAGCCCCCTGGGAAAGCTGCTCCATGCAAGCCTGCTCCATCATAGTTGGTACCTGACCCCACAGCTAGTTATTCTTTCAATAGCAAATAGACATTTAGGACTGAAGGAAAGAGCTGGACTAGCCCAGAAGATGATTTTGAAAGGGAACAACCTCAACCTCCAACTGATGTGGTTCCCATATCAGTTTTGTCCCACTTTATCACTAGGAGTCCTGGCTGCTCTTCACATACCTAGGTATAAATAGGGGAGTAATCAACACATGGATAAAGGATAACTTTGAAAATGATTCCTACAAACATTTTCAACATCAGATCAAGAATCTAGAAGTAGTAAATGACATGGCTGAGCTCTACATTTTACTTGTGCAAGATTTTGTGGCTGAAAGTCATGAAGGTCTTCTACAGGATACATTGCAAGTTGTTCAAAAAAAACGAAAAGAGGTTGAAAAAGACATGAAAAAAAGTGATTTTATGTAATTTTAATGTGATTTTTGACTTTTATTTGTCTTTAAATGACCAATATGTACAAGCATTACCTCTTAAATGAAAGATTTATTTTTCCAGAACAAAAATAAATGTAAAGTAAACAATTTTCTACTATTCAATCCATAAATTAAGGGGAACAAGAGGAAGGGGGGGGGGAAATAATTCCATGCAACCTAGCATATAAAAATACCTTGTACTGTATCCCTTTGACTTGGAGACCTAAAATTTTTTTTGGTGGGTCCTGGGACCAAATAAGAATGATTGAGATAGGGTGCATGTGAAATTTTTTTGGTCAGATTAAAAGTGGGACACCCTAATATATATATATATATATATATATATATATATATATATATATATATATATATATATATATATATATATATATATATATATATATATATATATATATCATATATATATATATATATATATATATATATATATATATATATATATATATATATATATATATATATATATATATATATATATATATATAAAGTATTAAAACCTATTAAATTATTTATGTTTGCTAATAAGTTGTTTTATAATTTACTTTTTTGTTTTTTCATATTGTTTTCAATTAATTTTTTATTTTCATTATACTCCTCATTGTTCACTTCTTTTCCAATCATTACACTCCTTTTTCATTCATTCTTCTCCTTTTCCATATTTTTTCAAAAATAGTTAGGTGTCTGTAGTGAAGTCCCTTTAACAATTTATTTAAAAAACTGCAGGGTAAAGCATAAGCAGTGATGATATTTATCTGATGCATCAAAGTAGTTTTTCTTATTTGTTATATTGCTGGTGATAATATATGCAATATATTTTATAATTCTTATTCTGATTTTATAACCACACGTAAATTACGTTTATTTTAGTGTGTTTTTTGTAAATTATTTATTGTAAATTTAAAAGTAATTTGTTGACAAAATAAACAAAAAATATTGATAAAATAAAATAATTTATTGACAAATGTTTATGAATTTCTATTTACAAAAAAAAAAGTAAATATTATTAACTAAACTTTATAATTATAAAAAGTAAATATTATTAACTAAACTTTATAATTATAAATTAATATTACAAATTATTTCTTTGTTTCTACTAGTTAATAATCTATAAAAAATTAATTTACACTGTTACTTTAAATTACAGTTTATATATGTTAGAGCATTTTGGTTTACCTTAAAATCTGTTTGATATTGCAAAATAAACTTAAGTAATTATTTTCAAACTAACTTAATTTTTAAACTTGTAAATTATACTCGAACAAAAACTTATATTTAGTTCTATATTTTTGTATTTATTTTTTACAATCTTTTCATTTTAAAACAAATGATTTAGCTGAATCGCCAGCTAACCAAGAGAGTTTATTAAATAAATCAACAAAAAGAAAAACTACTTTGTGTTGTTACAAAGAGATGACACAAATTGTTATGATTTACCCTATATAGCCACAAACTATATAGGATAAATTGGAGAAATTCGGGTTTCATAGCATCATAGAATATAAATAATTTTTCTGGAGAATCATATCAATTTTTCTGGATAATTAAATAACATCGATTTAAGAAAGCCAGATATATTATATAGAAAATAATTTTATAACTTTTTTTTTTTTTTTTTTTTTTTTAATAGTCAAATTTTAAGTCAATTTCACTTTCATGCAAGTTGACTTAAAATTTAGTTTTATGCATTTTGTGTATATGTTAAATTTTGCTGATTTATGGAAGATGCACTAGATAATTTGTATATTTCTTTGTAAAAAATAGTGATTAAGTATTTGACTCTGAGTTTGTTAGGAATTTAACATAGTATGGGAACTGGTGCTAATATACACCATCTGCGTGATCAGATGTCTCTATCTGAGTTATTCAGATGTGAGTCATCAGAGTGATGTGACCATCAAAGTGGTGTGAGTACATATACACCATCTGAGTGATCAGATGTCATTATCTGAGGTATTCAGCTACTTATTGATGAATAAAATTAAAAAAATGAAAGTTTTTAATTGATTTGATTAGATTATCAGATGGTTGTTGGTTGTTGGTTGTTGGTTGTTGATTATCAGATGGTTGTATCAGATGGTTGTTGAGATAATAAGTCTCATCATCATGATGAGACCTATTGTCTATGTTACCAGGACATTCTCAGGTGTTAATAACTTTATTTATCATATTAGATTGGTTGTTATTTTATTTTTGTCTTAAAAATTTCATTAGCAACCTTAAGTTACTTTTTGATTTTTTTAAATCACAAAAAGCAATAAAAAATGTTGATAGGTAAAAATGCAAATATGCACAAAATTTAAAACTATAGAGTTTAATTTTGAGCATATTGTGCAAAATATGAGGCCTTTATAATTAATTAATTCGCGCATAATTTATATATATATATGTATATATATATATATATATATATATATATATATATATATATATATATATATATATATATATATATATATATATATATATATATATATATATATATATATATGATTGTTTTGACGTCACAATGGGTTGTTTTGATGGAGCCGAAGTATGCAAACTGGTGGGTTTATACATTCTAGACTCTTTATCCAAAACCATTACTAAAAATGATATAGGTCTTTACCGAGACGACGGATTGATGGTGATGCGGAAAAAAACTACCGCACAGTTAAACAAAGTCAGAAAAAATATAATTGAGATATTTAAAAAGATCGGATTTCAAATAGAGATTCAAACCAATTTAAACAGTGTTAATTTTCTTGAAGTAACTTTTAATCTTCAAAAAAACTCCTACCAACCTTTTAAAAAACAAAATGACCAACTGCTCTACATCCACACCGAATCAAACCACCCGCCCCAAGTTCTTAAGCAGATCCCTCTCTCCATTAATGATCGATTATCGCAAAATTCTTCCAATGAAAAAATATTTAACGCTTCAAAAACAGAATACGAAAAAGCACTTAAACAAAACGGTTTTAAAAACGTTAACTTAAAGTACAACCCAAAAAATAAGACACCTCCCAAAAGAAAAAGGAATATAATTTGGTTTAACCCACCCTACAATAAAAGCGTCTCCACCAATGTTGGTTAAATCTTTTTGCAATTAATAGATAAACACTTCCCACTTTCAAATCCATTACATAAACTATTCAATCGAAACACTACAAAAATTAGCTACAGCTGCTCAAACAACATTTCAAAAATTATAAAAACCCACAACAAAAAAATAAATTTAATTAACACCACTGAAAATCTCCCTTGCATTTGCAAGCAAAAAGAAATTTGCCCGCTAAATAAAAATTGTAGAGCAACACACATCATTTACAAATGTATAACATCTTCCCCAAACACTCCCAGCAAAGCATACATTGGTTTATCAGAAGGAGTGTGGAAAAAGAGGTATGCAAACCACAAGCAATTATTTTCAAATAAGAAACTTTCAAATGCAACCACTCTCTCAAAACATATATGGGAAACTAGAGAAAAACTGAAAGAAACACCAGAATTAACTTGGTCTATCCTAAAAAAAGCCCCCGCCTACAACAATGAAACAAAAAAATGTTTACTATGTTTATATGAAAAACTCATTATTTTGCTTTATAAAAATGCTGAAGAGCTACTCAATAAAAAAACAGAGTTAATCTCCAAGTGTCGTCACGAAAATAAATTTCTATTGAGCAACCACAAACCTGAAGATTAGATACACGCGGTCGTAACAATAAAAAAAAGTTTTTCCGTATAGGTTTTTTCTGTATAGTTTCAATTGTAAATAATTTTTAAACGAACAAACTATATTTGTATTTCACCTGATGATTGCAACAGCATGAAACTTAAAGTTGTGAAAATCACGTAGTTTTATTTTCTACTTTATATATATATATATATATATATATATATATATATATATATATATATATATATATATATATATATATATATATATATATATATATATATATATATATATATATATATAAAACTTTTCCAAACATATATTGTAAAATTGGGTGACAACTAGTACTTCTTTTAAATAAATCCCATGCTCCATTGTTGCATAGTTAAGTTTAAAATTTAGTTGTGAAACGATTTACATTTTTTAATTATCTCTTGGAAACCCTTGTATAGGGATTTTAAGATCTTTTTTATTATAAATATTTGGACTACAGTAACTGGATAGAAATGAATTTTATTAAATGACAGGTAAAGACATAAAATTAAAAAATATTTTTTTAATGTCAAAGGCTGTTTGCACACATTTCGATGCTACTTGAAATTCATTTTACCCTAAATTGCGATTTATGCAAACATCTTAAATGGAATCTGCATAATAATTTTGGAAAAATGTGTTTGAAAATTGCAGCAAACAAAACAAATTTGCAAACAAAATAATTTTTTTATTTAAGTTAAAAAAAGTTAAATCTTTAATTTAGCTTTTTAATATTTTCAGCTTGCAAAGCAGTTTCATTTATATTTTTAGATTGCAAAGCAGTTTCATTTATATTTTTAGATTGCAAAGCAGTTTCATTTGAAAAAAATAAACACTATTCAGTTTATTAAACCACTGGAAAAGACATTGATTTTTCCTGCTGAGGTAATTGATATTTTTTTAAAGAAATATAGTTCATAACATTGAATCTGTAAATACTAAGTTTCTAAATATTCATAAGTTTTTATATAATTACTTTGAATTTTTTATTATTAATTTATATGTTAAGTTTATTTTTTATTTTAGGAAAAGATAACAGAAAAAAATTTAGTTGCATTTTTAAATAAACATAAAAAGTAAGTAATTTGAAAATAATTATTTCAATTTTTTTTTTGTCATTCATTATTTGTTTCATTAAAAAAAATATTTTGTAAAAAATATTGAAATTGAAAATTATATTCAAATTAAAAAATAAAAATAAAGTGAAAAATTTTTTTTTTAAAAAAGGTGCAAAATTTAGTTAACATTAGCAAAAGATTGTTGCAAAAAGATAACATTGATAAAAAAGATAAGATAAGTTAAAATATAAAATGCAAGATGACTCTAGCAAAATAAGATGCAAAAAACGTTGACAGCAGCATAAAAAAAATTTTATTTTGAATAAAAATATTTTAAAATTTTGGTTACTAATTATGGGTAATTTAAAAAATTTTAAATTACCCATAATTACCCATAAATTTATTTCATATAAACATAAAGGTATTCATAAATATAGATGTATAAAAAAGTTGAAATGTCATTTAAAAAATGAGTTTGTCACAGTTCTTTGCTTTTTTTATCAATGTTTCAATTTTTTTTTTTTTTTTCAGTAGGTGGAGTTAAGCCACTCCTAAACTTTAACTAAAATAGACTACTAAAAAATTTTTAAGTATTTTTTATAATTTTAATAATTGTAATAATGAATAATTTAATATTGTTTTGTAGACAGCGCTTAACAAAAATGATGTTAGAAAACCTTCATGACATTTGGGTAAGTTGCGATTCAAATGAATTACAAGTTAGGTTTAAGTAGGGGAGAGCGGGGTTGGTTGTCACACTTTTTACATTTTAGGCTGCTCAGCTTTTAATTTTCATCCAACCAATGCCAAACTTTGCACAAAGCTAGTTTAACTATTTCCAGTAACTATTATAACATTTTTATGACATTAAGTGAAATATTTATTGCTGTAAAATCATTTTTCTAAGACCACTTCTGTGTGACAACTAGCCCCGCTCACGGGGTAGGTTGTCACATGGTGCAGGGTTGATTGTCACATTTGGATTTTGACAAGTTTAGATAAGAATTTAATGTAAAACAAGTACAAATTAATTTCGTTTATGTTTTACTAAGCAAAATAAAAATAAAACACTATTAACTGAAATATATATATTTTAAATATAACACAATTAACAAATTTAGTTTATCACTATAAATGTTTTTAGGTTTGGTTTTTTAAAAATTATTGGATAAAGAACACAATTCACAAATAAACTGTTGTAAGCCTGGTGTGCATTCTTTATGAGCTCATTTTTGGCAAACCTGACATTGAATCCACTGTTCTCTTGATCGGCTGTTGGAAAATGATTCAAAACAATAGATGCACAGATTCTCTTCATCTTCAGATGAATTTAAGACTATAGAAGGTTTTTTCTTAGCAAGATTTGATTTTATTAATTCTTTTTTACTTCCATTAGTAAATTTTTTTTTATTAGTTTTCTTCTTTTTATAATTAGCAAGCCATGCTTTGACAGGCGTGTTAGTAAGAATCATAGTTGACCGCTTTTTCCTACTTCTTTTTGATGCTAACCTTGGGCCTGCTTTAGGCAGAGGCCTAATACCCTCAGGTGGTATGATTGAATTGTTAAAACCTAATGTTGTGGTTGGGTTCTGATTAGAGGTTTTATTTGATACAACTGGATCTTCTATTGTTACGTCTACCTGATTATCTGGTATCTGAATAGATTCTTTAAATCTTTTATTTGATGGTTCTGGTTGCATTGAATAAGATTCACAGTCTTTTTTATTTGAATCAGCCTGTGAACAAGGTGGGTCAGGGCGATCAGTTACATAGTTAGGACAGTAATCATTTTCAGTAAACACATCAGGATTTAACGAGTAAATACCTGTTGCAGAAAAACCACTTAAAATATTGTGGGGAGATACAGCCTTTGGAAATGCAATGTTTACTATTTTTGGAATATCATATATTGTAACAGTTTTTCCAGGATTCATTACTAACCATGATGTCATAGCAGTATTTATGTAGTTTTTGAGAGGACCATAAACTGCCTTATCCAAGGGCTGCAACTTATGTGTGCAATGTGGTGGGAAGGTAAGCATTACTATTCCATTATTTTTTGCCAAATCTAATCCTTCAATACTAAGATGAGTTTCGTGATTGTCAAGCAAGAATAAACAAGGCTTTTCTTTAGTACATTTTTTATTGCCTACAAAATGTTTTAGATATTTTACAAAGTTTTCTTCTTTCATCCGACCACTTGGATTTGCATCTCCTGCACTTCCTGTTGGTGCACTGATTAGGAAATGATCTTCAAAGTTTTTATGAGGAAAAATAAAAAAGGGTAGAATACTATTTCCAATAGCATTTATTGTGCATGCTAATGTTACAAGAGTTCCTCTTTCAGCTGACGTGATGGCTCCTACTTGTTTTAATCCTTTTTTCGCAATAACCAATTTAGGTTGCTGTACAGTAGTTACAGCAGTTTCGCCCATGTTCCAAATGTTATTTGGTGAGAACGAGTATTTTTGCATACAGTGCTGCAAATTGCTAAAAAAAGATGCAACATTCTGCTTATTGAAACTTGTCGCTCGACTTAAACTAGTAGCTTCAGGTTGCCTAATGGAAATATTTGAATGGCGCTTTATAAATCCTGTAAACCAATCCTTACCAGCTTGTTCCTTTACAACCCAAGAATTGGGAACCTTCATATTATTTTTAATTGCTAGCTGGAAAGCAAGCTTTTTTACTTCGGTAGGGTTTAAACCAAAATATATATCTGCTGCTCGCAACAGGTAGGTGACCAGTTCTTTTTCTACTTTTTCTGGCAATATCAATCGACTTTTGTATCCTATAACATTCTATAATGTTCTGTAATTAATGCCATGGTTTTTTGCTGCTGATCTAATAGAAATGTTATTAATCTTTACATCTTTAACAGCACACATTATGACATCTCCAGAAGTATAACCTCTATTAGTTTTTCTTTTAAAATTTCGTACTATGTTTATTACTAAGCAAATAAAAAAATTTGCAAATAATGTAAACAAAACATTAATATATATATATATATATATATATATATATATATATATATATATATATATATATATATATATATATATATATATATATATATATATATATATATATATATATATATATATATATATATATATATATATATATATATATATCCACTAAATATAAACAATACACAAACAAAACAACAGACAGTTTTACAAACTAAACAACAGCTAGTTGTTTAGTTTGTAAACAAAACAATAAACATTTGAACTTCTGCAATCCTTTTTCTATAATTATACTAAACATTAAATCGGAATCTAAAGTTATGCACGTTGAAATAAAAATAATTTAGATTACAGATATTTAGTTAAACAAATACAACACTTTGACTTTAGATTTTTAAATATCTTAAACATTAAAATATTCCTCAATAATGCGGAAAATAAACAAAGCCACTAAATATTCTGCAAGCGGCGTTTAATTTGCAGCGCATGGAGTCGAGGCAAGTGTGACAACCATCCCCATATATTTTGTGACAAGCAACCCCTTCTGAGTAAGTTGCTGGACACCTGTACATTTACCTAAAAGCGTGAGAATTTCATGATAATTTTTTACGGATTAAGTTACTCAAATGAATAAAGTACTTTATAAATCTACATTCAAAACACAATAAAATAATTTTCGTTTGGTAAAAGAAAATTTCTGAATAGGCGAAATTTTACTTTTTCATATCAAAAACCTATAAAAACGAATAACTTTTCTTCTGCACGCTAAAAAAAGATAAAAATTACTGTAAAAATTTTTTTATATAACATTTCCATTGTATAATTTGAAATTTCTATATCTTATTTACATTTCCTGTAATAAACTTTGTGACAACCAACCCGCGTGACAACCAACCCCGCTCTCCCCTATATTAAGATTTTACGTGAATCTTTTTTAAAAGATTTTTTTATTTTTAAAACTCAAAGATTTGAGTTTAGGTTTAAAATAACTAAAATTATTTTGGTTTTATTTTTTAACAATATCTGATGTAAGATCCAACTGACGATTTGTTTTCTGTCTTTTAAGATTTTACTCTTTTTTTAGGCTGTCGATATTTTAGGTTATATGGTATCTATTTTTGCAATTAAAAATACTGAAGGTAAATATATATATATATTGAATAAATATATGTTTAAAAAGAAGGTTACGTTTGTAAAAAAAACCAACATTTTATGACAAATTTACATCAGACATTTAAAATTTTTAACTTACTTCTTGCTATTAAAGTTATTTGAAAAACAGGTCGTGATGACGCAGTAAGGTTGCTTAAATTGTTTCATGGTGAAAATTTGACTTAATGTCCTTTAATAGAAACATAAAAATATTATGCCTGGAAATAAAAAGCTGTTCCACATAATTTTTTGTAAGCATAGTTGGACCTCCTCTTGCAGGTCAACCGTTATGTTTTATGTTATTATATGCTTTTTATCGTTATGTTATATTTTGTAATATTATGCTATATATTCTATTAAGATGTTTCGCCTCTTCCATTAGAAACATAACTTTATGTTTCTAATGGAAGAGGCGAAATAAAATTATGACTCCAACACTGAGTCACAACATCTAAATTAATCATCAGCGAAAGATAAATGTTTTTTAATAACATATTTATAAACAATTACAACTATCTACAAGCATTTTATATTTTATAAACAATTACAATTATCTACAAGCATTTTATATTTTATAAACAATTACAATTATCTACAAGCATTTTATATTTTGTAAACAATTACAATTATCTACAAGCATTTTATATTTTATAAACAATTACAATTATCTACAAGCATTTTATATTTTTAATTATACAGTGTTTCAGTAAAATTTAGAACCGCTTACATTTTTTTTCAATACTCGACAGAAAAACTTGAATAGAAATTAAACGGATTAAGATTTTTCAATTATTATTTTTTATTTTATTAAATAAGGTATTTTTGTTTTATAATTTAAGTAAAAAAAAACCGCAAAAAATATAAAAAATAAAAAAAAATGAAAGAAAACAAGTAGACAAAAAATAAAGGTAGCAAAAAAAAATCAGTTAAATATAGCACATTTCCGAAAAATTCAAGTTTCGATATTTAAAATGACCACCACGGGCTTTTATACATGAAAGAACTCTCCTAGGCATAGACTCAATCAATTTCATGCAGCACTTTTTTGGAATACTCTTCCATATCTCTTCTATCGCTTGCTTTAAGTGCTTAACTGACGTCAGCTTGGTGCGCATTAATTTTTTTTTTTATTCAACCATATCAATAAAATTTACAAATTTTATCGTAAATTAATATAAATTGGTTAGGTGTCACTCATATAGTTACAAACTAGTAAAAAAAAAAAACAAAAGGAAAAACTCAGCATCTGTATATATAAATAAGAGAGAAAAGAAGAAAAGATTGTTAAACAAATAATAATGATATATGTAATAATAATAGTAGTAATACAAAATAATAACAATAATAATAAAGTACCAATAATATTAAGAATATTATAATACAATATAAATTGTATGTACAAATCATAGATGATAATTAGATGTAATAATAAAATAAAATGTAACATTAATAACACAATAATAAATAAATATAAGATAGGTAAATAATAAATAAAGTAAAAAACAAACCACTTGTTTGTTAAAGAGATTGTATATTGAAGACAACTACAGTACAGAGAGAAATTATAAAGAAATACACTCCAACAATATATTTTTAAATTGAATTCTGTTGAGCAGTAAAAAATTCGTAACAAGTGGATATTTTTTCTTAGACTTTTTTATTAATGCAGGAATACACTGGTTCCATTGAGAAATACATTGTTGTTTTATAGAAAACTTACCATATTTGATTGTGTTGAAAAAAGAATAGTATAGCTTACTATTTTCTGTATTCCTGGTGTGATGATTATGAACTTCGTTTGTTTTAATAAATAAAAAAATTGGCGGTCCATCCAAGCCCAAAGATTCTCAATCGGATTCAAATGAGGCGATTGGGCGGGCCAGGGCATCACTTGGATCTTCGTCTTTGAAAACCAGACTTTAATCGTTTTGGCAGTGTGTGCAGGAGCCCCATCTTGCTGAAAAATCCTTTTGCGTCTTCCGAAAAATTCACGGGCTGATGGAATTAAACGCTGCTCCAGAGTTGTTTTGTAGCTATATTGATTGATCCAACCGGTGTGCGTATTGTAGAGACCAATATCTTAATTAGAGATGCAACCCCAGACTCCTGCCGACCCTCCTCCGCCTTGTATTCTTGGTGATACCATACGCATGTCATACTTCTGCCATTTCTTTTTTTTGACATAAACTCGTCCTTTGCGATTTATGGCCTCGAAATTGGATCCATCACTGAAAATACACTTCGCCCAATCTCTACTGACCAACTGGCATGTTCTCGGCACCATTTCAGTCGTCTCAACCGGTCTCGTACTGTCAAAAGTAGCTTCCTAGCAGCAATGTACGAAATGATTTCTTTTTCCTTTAAAACCTTTCTTACCATTTCATACCTAACACTGTAATTTCTGAACGAGCTATTGAAATCCTCGGCTAATTCTCGGAGAGCAATTTTAGGTTCGGCATTAACCTTTCGTATAAAGAAGTTTTTGTCTCGGGTACTAAGCTTTTTTGGTCTTCCAGAGCGCAGCATATCTTTGACACTCTTTCTCAATTTGTAGTTTTTTATCATTGTTGAGACGCATTTTCGTGAAACACCCAATTCTTTTGCTATTTTTGTGTCAGATTTATCTGTATTTTGTTTTAATGCAACAATCTGCCATCTAGTTGCATCATCTACTGCTTTTTTACCCATTTTTTTTAACAAAAATGTCTGGAAGTACCAACTATCTTAACTTTATTTCTAATTTGAATTTTTTAGAATTTTTCTTTGTAACATATCCTTTATATAATAGTGAACAAATACATAAAATTTCAAATTCAAAAATTAACAACTTTTTATGATATGTGATTTCAAAGTCATGTGCTAAATTTAATAGATAATTTATATCAGCTTAGAAAATTACCTCTAATTACTTAGTCTAAATTTAAATCCAATTAGCAATTTTTTTTATTTCAATTAAAATCATATCTGATTAACAATTAATTTACTCGATTTAGAGAAAATAATTGAAAAATCTTAATCCGTTTAATTTCTATTCAAATTTCTCTGTCGAGTATTGAAAAAAAAATGTAAGCGGTGCTAAATTTTACTGAAACACTGTAATTATAATTATACGACTTATTTTTTATAATAATTTTGTTATTTACCAAATTTTTAGGGAGTTTATTTTTTTATACTTTCTATTTCTAGCAGTTGATATCTTAAGCAAAAATTTCTAATTTTATGTAAAAAAATTTTGTCAGATTTTTTTCGACTATTTTTGCTACCATGATGATTTGGATACCTTAAGTATAAGGTTAGCAATCCAAATCATCAATCATATCAATAAAAGTGTAAAAAATGATGCATTTTAATTTTTATATCCTTTTTAAACTACTACTATAGTAACGGACGTTACTCCATAGTGTATAAGTTTTTCATTAATTAATTTGGAAAAAACGGTTCATTTATAATCATACCTATAGGCACATGTTAATACCTTGCGTATCTAAAACATGTAGTTACACAACACGTTTTAGATTTATTGAGATTATTTGCTTTATTTTGTTTTAGACGGTAAACTGTTTCTCTCGATGAGTAAATCGTTGACTAAATACTTTGAAAAGCAAGACAACCTTTCGTTCGTTTGGATAGATCCAAAACTTTTCCCAACTGTATGCTATCGGATATTTTTTTGTACTAATTTTTTTTACGGTATGATTTATATGAAGTTTGAAAAAAAAAATTATAATTTTTTAGTGTAGTAAACTTTTTTTAGATGCTTGATTACTGGCGAACTACATTTCAAATTGATCCTCTTCGTCCTACTATAGGTGTTATCGATGTCCGCAATGTACGCCCGTTAAACGTTAATTCTTATATTATTATATAATAATATATAAAGTATTGTAATTTAGTTAAACACTACTGCTATTATTATTACTATTATTATTATTATTATTATTATCATTATTATTGTTGTTGTTATTATATATTATTTTATTTGTGAAGTTTAATTTATTAAATATTTTATAGCAATCTTCAGTTTGGTATAAAGTACAAGAAGATGATGAAATTAGTTTAAACGGAGTTAAGAAATGGCTGCTTGAAGTCATTGCAGGAAACTTAACTTTAGAACCAATGAGACCATATGAGCCTCCTAAACCTAAAACTGATGTTGACGAGCATTCGTCAAATGATCTTAAAGAAGAATTATAGCGCAAATTTGTTTTAAGAAAATTTCACAATTATTTCAATTGATATCAATTGATAGGATTTTTTAAATAGTTTTTACACAAGTTAATAAAGAAGAAATTAATAAAGTTAATAAAGAAGAAATCTTTAAAAATGTCTATTGTTATAAATTATTTATTAAGAAATAAGGTTATTCAATTTAACAATTAAGAAACTTTTATCTTATGGAAAATTGTTTTTTTTTTATTATTATTATTTGAATTAAAAATTATTAATTTTTATTCATAGTTTTACAAGCGAAGAATTAATTTTTTTTTTTACGTTTAAAGAATTTAAGCAAAAAAAGTAAAATAAAATTTTAAAAAAAGATAAAAGAAGGTAAGCTGAGGAGATAAGGTTTTTCAAGCATGCACAAACTTTGTTTAATAAAAAAACTAGTAAACTTTGAATAATATTTTTTGATTAAAATTAATGAAAGCTCGGCACTGTGGACCAAAGAGACTACCTTTTATATCGTGACAATTTAATGAAATCTTTTTTATTCAAGGTTCTTGTTCAGCAAGCTGACTGTAATTTGTTTAGAAATCTTAGATGGTAAGTATCTTAAATAGAATAAGTTATGAACAAATAAGTTTTTAAAAAAAGCAAATGCTAACTTATACTCAGTCAAAAGAGTTCTACAAAAACAAGAATTTTTTACTATTTTAAATATTACCCTATAGGTCTGAAATCTAAGCATAAAAATGTTGTCTATACATTAAAGCCAAGTCTATTGCTTGAGTTTTTTATTCCACTCATCATAAACTACATTGATGTTGTAGGCGGGTTGGTCTGTAGGTTTCTGGAGGATTTAATCATAAAAGAAGCCATAAATCATAAAAGTATTCATAGCTTGTAGTAGACTACAGGCTATAAATACTATTTAACCAACTTTTTTTTGTTCTATCTCTGTTTTTTCAGATGAGACATGTTATCACTGCTGGAAGTTCTGAAACTGTAGAATATTTTTTTAGTCTGAATTTTGAGAGATCGAAACCGTCGATAAAGTGCTTATTGACAACAATTTCAGTGTTGTAGGTGAATACTTTAAAAGAGAATTCTGACTATCTTTCGAATTTTCCTTCCGAAAAGCGTCAACAGTACAGTCTTCAAGTCGAAATGCATCAAGTAGAAATTTTTAATTATTTAGGTGTTACAAGAAGTCCTTACGGTCGTATCACAGAGCATTGCATAATAGCATATATTAAAATAAATTTAGGTTGTAATCATATATTTTGTAATAACTTAATATATTTGTTTGCGAATAGTAATATTCAATAAACGAGTAGTATTATTTGCTATTTGTATCATATGTATATATACTACTCATATCGTGTGTTATGTATGTATATACTCATATACGATTTTTAATGAGGTAAATAGACAAATAAATATACAAGGATTTTAAATATCTGTTAGAACTCACAAAAACTTATAAAAAAGCTGCTACTTTAAACTACTTAGTAAGTATAAAACTCGAAACCGCACGTGAGAATGTAAGAAATAAGTGAAAAACAAAAATCTTGCTCAGGTTTCCTGCCTCAAGTCATCAAAGTTGATTTATTTATTTATGAGTTAAAGCTCGAAAGTTTCATAATTTTTTTTTTTTTATGATCCTTAGCATCTATCGACCAATTTCTGTTTTATCTATATTTTTGAAAATTTTAGAAAAAATAAAGTATAATAGAGTGTATAATTATTTACATGATAAGCTATTATATAGCTACCAGTTATATAGCTATTATATAGCTATTAATTTGGCTTTAAAAAGCACAGTTCTTCTGAACATGCAATCATTCAATTTGTACGTGAGATCTCAAAATCTTTTGTAAAATTCCCAAAACACACTTTGTATTTTTATTGACCTTTCAAAATCATTTTAAACAGTTGGTCATACCATCTTACATACTAATATTAAATAACAAGGAAAGAGTGGTTCGAAAAATATTTAGCAAACCGAAAACAACATGTTTCCTTTTATGACATTTTATGAAAAGATTAAAAGGATTTATTAGATATTATTCTTTGGTGTTCCACAAGACTCTATTAGAGCCACTTATTTTCTTGATTTATATTAATACATTGAATAAAGCCTCAAATTTACTTTGTATTATGTTTGCAAGCGACACAAACCTATTTCTTTCTAATAATGATATTTGTAAACTTTTTTCAACAATGAATGACGAGCCTAAAAGCATTTCTACCTGGTTCAAATTTGTATAAAAATAGAGACTATTTAAATAAAAAGAGCTTGCCTCAACTTTATCGCTCGTTTATCCATGACTATTTAGTTTCTGCAAATAATGCCTGGGGAAGTACTGATAAAAATTGATTGAAACCTCTTTGTAACCGTCAAAAATACGCAATTCGTTCTTTTAATTTTATGGATCGCCTTACTCATTCAAAGCCTTTATTCAACGAAATGAAATTAATTAATATATATGAATCAAATGTGTTCAATATCTTATGTTTTGTATATATGTTGTATATATCTTAATTTGTACATATGCGGAAAAATCGTTTAGTTCCTAAAGTTTTTAAAAATAACATTATATTACAATACCATAATATTATAAAATTTGGTAATCATTTTTTGTCAACCATTAATTATAATATTCGTTTTTGTCAACCATTAACTATAGTACATTTGTTCAAATCTATGGCTATACCAAATCTATCATACGACTTAGAAATATGTTGTTATAATGATTGATTTCTTAATAAATTGGAAGCTGTTGGAAGGTCAGCATTAGAATTCCTTTTTAATGCACTACTGTTCATAATTATTCAAAAAGCGTTAACTTTTTTTAAAACTATTTTTTGTTTAATTGTTTTATATTTATTTTATGTTTGTTTTTGCTCTATTAGATAGTTTAAAGTATTTTGGTTAAAATGCTTTGATAAAAATCATAAGAATGATAAAATATAAAGTGGGCTAGACTACATAAAAAATGGACCAGCCTTGACTTTAAACATGGACCGTCGTGTCGAAGTTTTAAATCTTTGGTTTCAAGTTAAGTACGAACATTCGAATAATTATGGACGGTAGTCGAATTATTAAATACTTTTCGATATAAGATTTCATAGTTTTACTTACTATTAATAGAGAAACTGTAAACAAAGTCTACTTAAATAATAATCTTACATTTTATAAGGTTTACAAAAAAATTAATATAAGTCCGATTAGATTATAATTTACTTGCCGTTTAATCAACATTAGCGACAATAACCACTATACATATTCTTGGCATTTTACTCAACGACTTATCCAATTAGTCTAAGTCAACTTTACATCACTAACAAATACATTTTTTCATATCTTATATATCATTAGGTATTAGTTTTTGACATTAATTTTAATTCCTCCCATAAAAATCCAATAGGAAGGAGATCTTGTAATTGGGGAGGCTAAATTATTTTATTTAATATTTGATTGCTCACAAACTCAGTCAAATAAATTAAACAAGTTTTCAAAAAAAATGTTTTAGATTAAAGCGTCAAGTTATTTTCTTCTGAAAAATGAATACATTCTCATTAACCCATCTTTCCGAAGATGTAGCATAATTTTTTCATCTTTCCGAAGGTGTTGCATAATTTTATGGAGCACAAGTAAAAAGCCACCTGTGACATTCAATGACTGTGGTTTACAATAATTGGTGATCCATTTTTTAAATTAGTTTTGCCCAATCTAACATTTTTATTATTCTTTTGATTATTATCAAAACATTTTAAATAAAATACTTTTAAATTATTTAATAGTGCAAAAATAAACCTAAAAAATAGTTAAATAAAAAATATCACTTTTGAAAAAAGTTAATGCTATTTGAATAATTATGAACGGTAGTGTAAATCAAAGTATAGCAAAAACTACCTGCATCCCTTCTTTAAAATAAATGACATATCTACCATCCTTATTCAAAACAAATTAAATCTGTTTATCAGACTACTAAACAATCCGACTTGTTTTTCCATAATTTTGACTCAGATATCTGATGTTACAAAAGATAACCTATTTATCAACGAAGTAATAAAAATTTGCAATCAACTTGAGCTAAACTTCGTCCAGTGTTAGAGAGAAAAAATAACTTTCTTTTAATGAACAACATACCCAGGGGAGGACAATGAGTTAAGAAGCCCACCAATAGCCGCCTGATTTGATTTTAATTTTTGTATCTTATTTATAGTTTATATAGTCCATATTATTCTTTCAATCCCTTTTTTTTTCATCCCTTTTTTTTTATCATCTGGAACAATTCTAAAGTCCTAGTTAAACTTTATTTATAAAAAATGCGAAATACTTGAGGTGAAACTGAAAAATACATACATTTTCCGAAATACTTGAGGTGAAACTGAAAAATACATACATTTTCCAAAATACTTAAGGTGAAACTGAAAAATTCATACATTTTCCGAAATACTTGAGGTGAAACTGAAAAATACATACATTTTCCGAAATACTTGAGGTGAAACTGAAAAATACATACATTTTCCGAAATACTTGAGGTGAAACTGAAAAAGTCTCAATAACAGTTTTATCATCAGGAAGCATGTCTGTTTAATGTGTAAAAGTTTGCGCAACAAATTAAATGCACATAGAATTAAATTTTTGCAAACAATTGTATCATTGTCCTCTGGCTCTTTTTCTGAATTTTGGTATTTTAGTTAAGTATTATCCTCTTCCACTTCTTTATCTTCATTTTCATTATTAAAATCTTAATTGAACTTATTTTTTGGAATTGAACTCGTTGTCCTGGAATAATGCTTCAGAACTGTTAACCATTTTTAAAAATTCACTTTCTACAGACAACAAATATGAAGAAGCAAAATGATCAAGTTCTTATCTTAAGGTAAACACATCGATTTCAGCCATTTCAGAAATAACTTTTAGATTCGAAATTTTAAATTTAAAATTCTGCTGTTTATGCTTTAAACCTCTAAGGATCAAAATATGTTTAGAAAAAGTTTGAAAAAGTTCTTTATTTTTTCCATATCTATTTTTTAATGTCATTTTTAAATTTTCAAATATAACTCTAAATTCATTAACTCTAAATGCTGATATTTGATCATTTGAGACTTTACCCGACGCTAGTTCTTCAGGCAACCTTTCTTTAGTCT